TTTGTGGTTTAATCACATCATCATTACCATGGATCTTGGCAATTCTGTACATGTCATGGTGATTGTAATTATACAACTTTATGCACTTTTATGGAAAGTTGAACACTGTAAAATATATATTCAAGAAAATTTGATCTTTGTTTTCATGCAGGCTGGGAAAATGTGGATACGTTAGGAGCAGTGGTTTCAGTTAAAATGCTGAGTGAAAGAGAGTTTATGTGAGGTGGGGAAATGTATTTGCATTTCTGTTGGTGTGTGATGTTTGTACAGTCTCAAACATATGTGTTTGTATGAGGCTCAAGACTTTCAGCTTTAAAATGGTCTCCTAGTTTGTAATTGCTCATTTTACTTTTGGCTACAAGTAAACTCTACTTAGTTATTTACACCATGCTTGTTTATTGTACAGATTATGTTTGGAAGCCACATAGTGTAGCTCTAATTTACTCCAAAGAGTCCTAAAACAGTGCTTGTGGCCAATGTTTAGGCAGATCTTTAAAATGTTTATTGCCTGCCTTGAATATATGATGTTGTTTTAGTAAAATTCTGATCCTTTGCTTATCTCTCTATTATTTAGTCTAAGTAATAATGCCTGACAACAAGTTATTTATCAGTTTTGATTCTAGAAATTTTTTAACTAGAGCAGAAGCTCTGGTACCTTCCAGTTGCCTGCATGCTTCTTTTTATTTACTAAATAGGCATGAAATATTAAAAACATGTTGCTAATTTCAGAACTGTTTAAATAATTATGCAATTTTAATATATTAATAGTACAAGCTGATGAAGGTAGATTTTGAAGTAATACCAAGAGGTTTAGACACACCTATGTACATGGTAAATCTTGACATAACAATGAAGATTTCTTTGATTTGCTAATTTGTTCTTTTCATTTAATCAATCTATATGATCTTCCTGACCAATCATTCTGGTATTTAATAATTAAGGTTGCAATATTTTTCCAACTTACACAGGATTCATATTAAGTAAATTCAATGAAATTATTCACATAAACCTGCATTTTTATGTTCCACCAAAAGAAAATGCCAGAAAGAGATTCTATTTTAAGATTATTATTTTTATTAATTAGTTTTTAATGTATTCTAAAATACTTTCTATAAATCACCATTCTCTTCCTGTTTGCATAACCATTTCAAAACATAAAGCACTATATAACAAGATAGCATTTCCAGTTAAGTCTTCTGTAACTAACCCATAGAATTTATCTACCACACGTTTTTTTAAAACTGAGATACATAACTATTCATTTAGAATTATTAGTATTTTCCTCAAAGTTTTGACAAATCAAATGAAACTATATTCTGCCTACTGTTGGTACTGTAATGTTAGTGATACTGCCACTTTGGGCCTGCTGAATAAAGTTTAAGCACAAAACTGAAGAAGCAAACTCCCTAGATTTCAACATGGCAGAAGGATGCAACCTTTTTTGCTCTGTGAAGACTTTACAATACAAGAACTTATAAATACAAGAGCAACATGTCACCATCTAATAAAATAATACTTAAGGCACTACAGTTCAACTCTTGCCCTCCCCCTTGCTCTTTATACGGAAGGAATTTGGAATTCTAAGTTAGATTTTGCCCTCTCCTTTTCTCCAGACCCATGACTAATTGATAAAAATGAAGTTCTTCAGATTCTCTGACTTAACATCATCTGCTTTTCAGAATGCAGGCAACAACTAAGCACACATAGATGGATTTGATTAGGAATGGATTTCTAAAATTGAAAGCTTGTATGTAAGCAAAATGCTTCCCCTCCTCTGTAAAGATGGAAATTGAAAAGGGAAAAGAAACCTCTTTATGAACTCTGATCCAACTTACTTGGGAAGATATATCATTGCATGCAATGAGATTAAACTGCAATGTTTACTGGGAATAAACCAGAGTAAATTTTTGAGAGAAAACAATGAAACACAGGTACTGAATAGGTTTGACTCACTTTTTCATGGTTGACTTCAGCATAATTTACTTATGATTTTGGTGTTCACGTGAGTAACAAAATAATTACATTCAATTTTCTACCATGCCCTAAGCTAACATGTATCACCATCCTTCTCCCTTATGGATGCATTACCATACAGCTATCCATCTATGCAATCAATGGTAGCTGAACATATATAGTAGTTCAAGTGTTATTTACAATCCAGTTGGAATAAGCTCCCATCTTAAGCTTTAAAAAAATTGAACTCCCACTTTCAATTATTGCTAAATATGCGCTAAATGCTTCTATCCCAAGGAAGCAAACAGAGGTCTTCTTTGCCTTCCATCATCCAGCCCCCTTATCTGGTATTTGGTAAGTCAAAAAGAAGAGTATTATTCCATCTCTCCCACCATTCCACTCAAGCCTTTTACCTGTTCAGGACAGCTAAGCCTAACATCTTGACAGTTGCAGTTACAATGTCTAGCAAGTTCCACAGAACTTTCTTTATCTACAGTTGATTTGCAGATAAGTTGCTGCACGTTTGAATGTACTGTTCAGTTGTCCAAACTAAGCAGCCAAAATTACGGTACATTTAAACATTAGCCGAATGTGAAATGTGAACTTTTTTTTTAAAGGCCTCCTGGCTAGGGAGATTGGACGAAGGAACATGAAGGAACATGAAGGTTCAGCCCGTCTGACCATATAGAGAATGACCAATGTCAGCGCAAGAAGCCTTAGGAATGGATGGCAAAAGAGCGCTGGTCGGCCCAGGTGATTCCATGCTAAGGTCTGAGTGGGGAGGAAGGGAGAAGAGAAGCTCCCAGCTAGCCCTGGGAGAAGAGGCCGTCCTGCACACAAGTTGCCGCTTCTGCCATAGTCCTCCAACGGGGAGCTTGCACTTATGCCCTCAGCCAGTATTGCCGATTCATTTCCTCAGCTAAGGCAACTCCCGCGCCTCTCATCCAGGCAGCAGAGAAGCCGGGTGAGGCAGACTGACAGCCGTGAGCGCCCGCTCAGCTCCCGAGGAACCAATCGCAAGACTTTTCAGATTCTGCCCCGAAGCGCTCTTTCTGCCGCCAACCCGTGACGGGCCGAGGTGTGGCATTTGGGCAGCCCCGCGAATTGGACAGAGGGGCCTGGAGCGCCTGTTCCGCCCCTTCGAAGGGGATGCCCTCTTCGTCGAAAGCGACCCTGGGTATAGCCGAAGCTGCCCGGCCCGGAGGTCCAGGAGGGCTGAGAAAAACGATGTTTCGGGAGCCACCCTTCCCTGAACACGGGAAAGGGAATATACCTAGGCAGAAAAGAGAGCGGAAAAGCCCAGGTGTGCTACACACCCCATCCCCCTTGACCACAACAGGCAGGCTGGGGCAGCGAGAAGAAAGTTCGAAGCAGAAAACCGCCTCAGGAAGAAAAAGGCCAAAGAGAGCCACGCTCGCCTGCCTCAGCTTGGCAGCCTATTGCTGTCAATTGCGCTGCCTTCGTCCCGCGCTTGAACCTCTTGGCCTATTCCCCGGTGATTTTTCCCGCGAAAAGTCTGTGCTCCTCAGGTGGGCAACCGCATTTTTAGCCAAACGTCTTATTCACGGATAGGCCCTGACTTCGATTATGGTTCAGGGTGTGGAGTGCACCCAGAGCCCTGCTGGATAAAGCAGGATTAGGTTAACCGTTAACCGGACGGTCAGTGCGACTTTCCGTGGCTGTGTGGAATGGATTCGCCGCAAAGCCAGTAAGCCAGTGTTTCTCAACCTTGGCATCTTTGAAAATGTGTGGACTTCAACTCCCAGAATTCAGGATTCTTAGAGTTGAAGTCCACACGTCTTTAAAGTTGCTAAAGTTGAGAAACACTGAACCAAGCCACCTTCCCGGCTTAGCGCGAAGTGGAAGCCACTCGATCTCTCTCTTTCTCTGCCTCGAGCAGGTGGCTCTGAGGAAAAGTGGCGGGAAAAAAAACCAATTGGCAAGTTAGAAATTGATCCCCGGATGAAGGAATTGGGGTTGTTTTTCCCCTGAATCCGTCTGGAAGGATCGTAAGAGGAATGTTCTCTGGTAAGGAAAACCTGAGATGCGATCCGGCGAGAGTAAAAGGATTTTTTTTCGGGGGTACAGATGCTGCCGACTCGGGGTCCATGTTGAAAGCCGCTCGGGGCCTTCGGGCCTTTTCACAGGTGAGGACCCATGCGGGGTTCTTGCGGGGCTCCATCACTCAGGGGCTGACCTGGACTTTGCTGTCAAGCAGAGGCTTTGGAGCGCGGGAGGCGACCCAGAAGAGAAGGCACTGGGTCCCATCCTCCCGATAATAATCACCCACTGCTGTGGAGTCCCAACAGTTTTGTGTGCCGAAGAAACGGTGAACTTGTAGCTTGTTATAACCGAGTTTAGGTCTTGTGTGTTTACTGAGACCCCCCCCGAAGCCTATCCTTTTGGTTAATTTCTAATTCAGAGCATTGCGCGAGTCCCCAACTCCAACTCAGGTATAATGGAAGAGGAAGGGACCGCAGCCCATGTCCGGGAGGCACGACTCCTGAACGTTTGACAGCCCTCCGCTGGCATCCCCTTTTCCGAGATCTCTGATCTGGTCCATTTCCTAATTCCCAGCCCGCTTTCTACGCCAAGTTCTCCAGGTTTTATAGACAGCTTCTCTTGGATCGAAGCATTTCGGAAAAGAAGCGTGTCCACGTATCTCCCGAGGACTTTGGAAGCTGCCAAGTCCCATCAGCAACAGTGCCAGGGAGAGGAACCTCCTGCCTCTTAAGGGGTTAGGTCTCCGGAGCTTACAGCTCCATAGATTGATCTGGACCAATTGAGAATCCTTCCCATCTTCCGAATCCATCCCAGAAAACAGGCGCTCTGCATATGATCAGGCGCAACCTTTTTAAAATAAATAAATAAATAAATAAATAAATAAATAAATCGCCAGCTGTGACATCTCAAAAACACCCTGGATCTGAGCCCACTTGAGAACCACCAGTCAGCTGCCGCATCTCACTTTCTAGCCAGACGCGAGAGAAAGTTTCCGGGCAGACGTCCCTTCTCGCTCCCCCACCCCCGCCCCACAGCGGACTTACCACCACGATGAGTCCACCCGCGGCGTGAGAATCAACAGAGTCAGCAGCAAAGGCAAAGCGAGGCGAGAGCGGACGGGTCTGCTCTGGGACGCTCGTCTGGTGGCTTCGGGAGCGCTGGCAGTCCTAGCGGAGCTTGCCAGACGGTTTGAGCCAAACATAATTCTCTTTCGCGGGAAGCGGAGAAGGAGAGAACAAGCCCCAGATCGCAAAGAGGAGAAGACGGATTCCTGGGCCTCCAATTGGGTGGGGTGGGGTGGGGGGGGAGGTTGTAGCGAAGAGCAAACGGAGGCGGCTCCTTAGGTTATCCCTGAAGTCGGGAGTCACGACTCTTCTCCCAGGGCTGCTGCGTTAGGCATGGCTTCGGAAGGAGGCCAAGTCAAACTAACCTAAACCCCAGGGCGGGCGGCCGCTTGCTGGGCTGGCCGTGCTGATTGCCTCCTGAGATGGACTGGCCGTCGCCTGGACTGGCAGCAGCGTCTGCGGAGCCGCCCCAAGGACCGGTATCTGCTGGGAATGAAGATGAGGAGGACACGCTGGAGGGGTGGGCTTGGGGAGATGGACACCTCCTTGGACTCTCATTGGGCAAAACTCCCAGGCACAAAGACAGGGCTGTGGGTGGAGGGTGGGGGGGGGAGAGAATCAAGCCCAGCCAAGGGGTTGGGACCGTGCTCTCTCTATCGCTGGCGTTTTCTCCACCGGGGTTTATTTTCCCCTCCCTTGCTAGCTGAACAGTCTCACCTTTTCCCTCCCAGGCACCACCTGCTGCCTGAGAAAGATAGAAAGAAAGCCAGAAGAGATCAGAGACGGTGCTGAAGTCTCCCTTGCTGGCAAAAGACAACTTCAGGCAGCCTCCCCCGACAATCCTATTCCTCCTCTGGTCCTAGTGCCTCCTATAGCTGTCCATTCTTTCAGCACGCAACTGAGGGCTAACTCCAAACCCACATCTGACACTTAATTGGATGTGTTGAGTGCTAAGCCAATATATGGTTTGTGTCTTAATGGGTTGTGTGAATCTAGACAATAAGTCATGTTTAAGGAAATCCTGGCTTAGTGTAGTATGAGTTTACCTCCAAAGTTCTATCCTCTTGTTTCCCTTGTGGCAGGGTCCAGTTGTTTATTATATTTATATTCCACTCCCCACCGCCCCACATGAGTTTGAGACAGATTAATCCTGGAATTCAACAGCATTTGAAGATGTGCAAATCTCTCCTCTCTCTTGCTATAGATAAGGCAATATGAGAGGCCTAAAGTCACCCATTGAATTTAATGGCTGCATTGGTATCCATCCAGGGGTGGTCTTCAAAAATTTTAGCAACAGGTTCTCTGCCTGGTTGCTGGGTGGGCATGGCCATGGCCATGGTGGGCGTGGTTAGTTGCCCTCCCTGGTCTCCGGAGGCTCTTGAGCCTCTGGAAGGGTGAAAACAGCCTCCATGGGCTCCTGAGGCTCTCTGGAAGCTGGAAACAGGCCCATTTCTGGCCTTCCCAAACTTCCGGGAGGCCTGTTTTTTGAGCCTCTGTGTGCGCCCTACACTTACCTGCATCCAAAATGAGCTGCATGGGGACTCCTGGGAGGGACAGGGTGGGGTGAGCAGGCCAGCCAGGAGTGGGATTTGGGGGTTCTCCAAACTGCACAGAATCTTACCTAGGGGCTTTCCCAAACCCCTGTGAACCCCCAGCAGCCCACCCCTGTATCTATCCTGTTGGCGGAGCAAAAAATTGAAGCTCAGGTGGCATTTTAGATTCACCCTTCCCAAATCTTCAAAATATTTGAAGATGTCTTCCTACCATGGATTATCTTCATATGTTGTGTGAATATGTTTATTGGAGAACAGGGTTTTTGGGTGGTAGCTTTTACCTTTGGAATGTTCATTCTGGGAATGCCAGGCACCATTTTTAGTTTTTCAGCACTAGTTTTCTATTGCATTCTTGCAGGACTAACACTGCTGCAATATTTTAACTTGCTGCTTGCAGCTTTTCATTTTTTATGTAATTGACAATTTGTCTTGTATACTCTATATAATGTTTGATTTTTTTTAAAAAAAATGTTTCTTTCTTAATTATTTGAATTTTAATGTAAATCACTTTGAAATTTTAAGAGGAAGTGGTATATTAAGATTATATATAAAATAATGCCCTAAGCTGGAGTGGGATGGCTATGATTTATGACAATAAAGAGCTTTGCACAGTGGGTAAGACACAATGTAGTTATCATGACAAGCACCAGGGCAAGCCAGGAGATGCATTTGGATGGCCTTTTCCCAAAATATTGCAAAAACCAATGGAAACATATAAGCAAAATAATGCAGCTGTTTCACTTAGAAGTAAAATGTTTGTGTTACTTCAAATACAATCATTTGGGAGAGGATGCTTTGCAGGATCTTTTGTTGAAATGAAGCCAAAGATTGTATACCCCTGTTAAACATTTTCTCTCTTCCATACTTATCTTCTAATCCTTTATTTATTATTCTTTAATGGATTATTTTCCACATTACTGCTGCACTGCTTAAATTCCAAGAATAACCTGTTCCTAATTTCAAATATTTGTCTGGCTCCTAAATATTTTGTGCAATTTATGAATTTTGGAATTCTACCAAAGACAAATTAGACTCTATATGCTTAAATTTTCCTTCCTGGTGTCCTAATTTATTTTAGATATTATGTATGCTAAACATGCTAGATACTAGTTGGATTCACACAATATGCCAAGACATACTATGGTTTTTTTGGATGTGATTTGGAATATTAAGTGAATTCAGTCAGAGTGATTTATGACTTAGGTTTTGTAAACTTAGCCAATACAAAATTAAATGTTTGTATATACACTCAGAACTTATTCTCTGAGGAACCTAGATCTACTGCTTGTCTCTTGACATTATCATATTTTCATACCATGTCTTTCCATTTTTATCCATCTAAGCCAGGTTACGTTCTCTCTCTTTCTCTTTCTCTCTCTCTCCCTCTCTCTCTCTCTTTCCCTCCCTCCCTCTCTCCCCACTCCCCCTCTCTCCATTTCCACCTCCATCTCCACCTCCATCCCTTTCTTCTCCTACTTTTACAACTTCTAATCTAGGCAAGTGGCGATATCTCTTGAGCTGGGTTGAAAATGCTACATGTCTAATTCCTTCATGAGATTATTTTCTCTTTTCAAAACTTCCCTTAACTGCTCTGCCTTCCATTTGAAGTCTTGGGATTGATCAACAAACTTTGCTAAGTCTCTGGGAGATAAGCAGGTGCTTTTCTAGCTTTTGTGACTCTACTGTTCCACTAAATAACAATATGTTTAGTGATTAATTAATATCTCAGGATTGCAAACTTCAGTATCAGCAAGTGTTCTGGCATATGTGGCTTCTTCCTTTGCCAAACCTGCTTCTTCCAAGTCCAATAGTTACAATAGAATAATAACTTTATTTGGACCCAGAGAAATTGAGACCATCAACCAACACTTCTCATAATCCATTTAGCTTTCTTCAATTTACTATGCCTGAAAGCAATTTTTTTGGGACTTTGTGCTTTTGTTGGAGATCCAACTGAATGATTGTGTAACAACTTATTTATAAAACAATTTAAGGCTGTGGATATGATAGGAAAGAGACTGATATTTATAGACTAAAGCCTGGACATTTGTTTGGAAGCTAACATAATGTGCAATGACCCTCTGGATGACTTTAGATTATTACACTATTGATCATTGATTTAGACCACCAATGTTGAAAATTCTGCTACATAGATGTTAGAAGTGAAAGTGCTGCTTATAAAAAAATCTAAAGTCTAAATGAAACAGGAAAGAGAAAGAAGAACAGCTAGGCTTAACATATTCTTCTCCGGAATCTGTTCTGATTTCCAGGCTTAATGCCACCCTTAATAAATCCAGATGATCACTATCTGAAATCACTGTCAACTATTTCTGAGTAGCTGCATCATTCAAAGAAGGAACTTTTGTCTCATATCAGTTAAGAATTCTGATTTCTTAGAGTTATGAGAAAGCTATATTGCCAAATACAATGGAATGTGTAAAGCATATATTATTGCATATATGTGGGCAGAAGATTAGAGTTCTAAGAAAGCAGCAGCAAGAACAATTTATCAAGAATTGGAAAATAATAAAAAAAGAAGCAACATTTTCAAGTGTTGTACAGCGAGTTCAGTTACCATCCTTTCAGTCCAGTCCATTATTTTGTCACCTATTTTGTTGGAAATTTGATTTGCAGCCTGATTTGTAGCAGGAGGTCAATATGCATATAATGAATTTTTTGTATCATTTTAATATTAAAATATGAAATACTAAGCAAAAGAACAGCATAAGAACTACTACCACCTACTACTTACTTTTCCTCTGCCATCATTAATTAGATAGCAAAACTTGAGCAGGAAGTGGCCGACATACTTTGGGTGTTAGGGCTTAGGCCTGGTCCTGCTAGAGTAAAGACAAGAAGGAGAATGTGACTTTTCTCTTCCTTTTTCCTGTTCATCTTCAGGTGCCATGGCTTTGGGAGTGGTGGAACTCAGCATCATGTTGTCTTATTATTGGAGCCCAGAAACTTTACTTGCTCTCCTAGGATATTCACCAGTTCCCTCCATCATTGTTACCTGTCCTCTCCTTTTAATGGAGCGTTCAGATTACTTTAAGCTGAGAAATTCCTCCTTTCCCTCTCCTCCTCCCCCCTCCTCTCCCTTCCCCCCTCCTCCAGACAGGATGGATGGAATAGGGTACTTTATTGCCAAGTGGGTTTAAAGAACATTTAACGATGTTCCTTTAAGTTTTGCTTTGGCTAAAAAGGGGGGGAAAAAAAAGGGGGGGGGAGTCACGACCTAAAAGGAGAATTTTACCATTTCATTTTTTAAACATTAGCAATACATTATTAAATTTAGTCCCATGCTGTAGGAAATATTAGGTAAATATATCAAAAGTTTGGTTAATTCAGTAAGGTTCTGCTATCCTACAGAGAAAATTATAGAACATAAATATGAAAAAACTAATATACATACATACATATACATATACATATACATATACATATACATATACATACACACACACACACACACACACACACACACACACACACACACATATATATATATATAAAGTTTTCGCAGGTACTTACATGTATGGTATTCAGCTTTGTTTGGGTATTTTCCCATGTCATTGTAGTTGTGC